TTTGCAGTTTTTCGAAATTGTTCTCAAATTTTCCCAATGCGTTTTGCTGTTTCTACTGGTGTAGTTGTTGCCAGTGCCGTTGCTGTGGCCACTGCCACTGAGGATGCTTGCTCACAGATGTGCTCCGAGGTCGATGGATGCCGCGGGTCCAAGTATGGTTCATACTGCAAGGGTTGGATGACACCTTCTATTTGCTTCGGTCTCGTCAGAAGAACTGACGGCTCCTATTGCTTCCAGCCTGGTGATGTTAGCTGCGTCGGCGAGGCCGTACCCTGTTCCATGGGTCATGTGACCACCGCTGAGCCCACTGAATCTCCTTTCACCACAGCGGTTCCCGCAACCAAGTCAGCGTCTACTACTAGTGCTTCTATTGCGACTACCGCTACTGAGGTTAATACCACGGCTGCTCCAACGACTACCGCTCAGGCCGTGACAACCACCCCTGTGGAGACCACCACTAACACCGTCGGTCCTATCACTACGACTACTGCTACCACAACTAGAGTGACAACTACGACTACTGCTACCACAACTAGAGCGACCACTACGACTACTACCACAACTAGAGCAACCACTACGACTACGACGACCACTAAAGCGACCACTACTACTGCTGCTTCTCCTGCATTCGGTGGTCATTACTGCGGTAGCATGATGGGCCAGAGTTTCACTGTTGACTTTGTCTCTAATGGCCGCGCTACCATCAATGTGATGGGTATGTCTGCTGGCGCTGATTACACTGTTGATGGTGATGATATCGAGTTCTCTAACTACGATCCTATGCTTGCCAAATTGATGCAACAGTTCCACATCAAGAAAATTGATGCCACCATCATCAGTCCCGATTCCGTTCATATCAAGATCGGTTTCCTCCTTGACACCACTATCACTAAGTGCTAAGTTGTCTGTTTGACTCGTCTCCGTCTTGTCAATCACTATTCTCTTGAATGGATTTGCCAAACTTGTTGTAATTGCGTTGAATTGGGCGCATCAGACAATAAAATTAACGGTCTCGAGTTGCACTGGTTTCGCGTGCTGCGCGTCAGTGTCGAGTAACGGATTCACCATCGCGGCGTTGCCCCATATACTTAACGGAACGAAGTTCATGCATTTCCCCTCTCTGATTTGTTCCAAAACTCAAATCTGGGACGAGAATAATATGAAGTTCTTGTGACCATTCGTTTCTGAAAATGATCCTCATCGGAGCACATAACCTTATACTGAACATTTCCAGACTTAACAGAGTCTGTTGGACACACTCAACTAACCTGGGTCAATCTGGTAGCATCCGTCCTGATGCCACATTGGACACTCAAGAGGCCATTACAGATAACCGTTGATACAAGCATCATGCGTCAAGCATGAACTATAACAGCTACATGGTTACGATGATGAACTGAATAACACAGCGCCATAGTCTATTACAAAACGCACATAATTAATGTACTAATAGCAATCAATGACCACTATATGTAAAACCGTCGAGACCAGCCCTACATTTAGCTGAGTCTCTCCTCGCCTCCTCAGCTGTACCAGCATCTCCCTTACGTTTCCTTCTAGAGGGAGTGATCCGTGCCGGACTACGATGGCCCTCCTTAACTCCCCGGGTCTTGAGGTAGTCCATCACGTCCTGGCCACAGTTGGCCGCCTCAGCGACATCCATGATGGTGTCGCCAGTAAGCTTATCCACCACTTTCAAGTTACACCCTATTCGTCCAACTAACTTCAATGCTGCTAAAGGATGGATGCAATCAATGCACCTATTCTGCGTCATAACATTGCCAGATACATGAACCTCACCGTCTCAACAGTTCAAATGGTCTCTGTTGGACCATCTGCCCTAGGCCGACCAATAACAGGTTCATATCTGGCCACACTTCCAGAGGTAACCGGGCTTCCAATTGCTGTCTGGTCGCCTCTGGCGTCTCTGAAAGGGAAGCCTTTGGCAAGGGAGGAAGGCAACACTAGGGAGTACTAGCATTCTTAGTCCATCCCAACATTGCAGCGATGCGATGGACATGGGTATCCACACAAATACCAGCATCACGATGCCCATGGCCTATCTCCATCACCTACAGTAATGTATAAACAATGGGGGAAGGGATGAGGTATGCCTCACCAAGACAGCCATCTTAGGGCCAACTCCAGGTAAACTGAGAAGGTCCTCCATACTGTCTGGTACCTACCACTACCTTTTCAGCCAACGATCGAGAGCAGTGAATCACGAGTCGTTCACATTAGGATTGGAGGTTATTCCTATGCACCCAAAGGGATGGCTCACACTCAATCCACTCTCTCAATAGTTGAATATTGGGATGTGAACCGAGATGACTCGTATAGCGGAGGCGTCACGGCAAATTTCCCCTTGGTTAGGTCAGAGACGTCTTTTACATTTTCAAAACGACGTTTTGAAGGGTCTACATTCTGATTACCGTGATAATTAGGCACTGTAGTTCCGTAGCGACTTCGTCGTCGCTGAGGCTGGCGGCTTTCCCCCTAGTGATCATAGCTCATACTTCTTTCGATGTCGAGACCTACGTATCCCAACTCCTCAATTGACCTTTACTACGATCAGGCTTCGGCGAATGACACATCGGCTAGAACGGGACTCATGATATCGAGGCAATCGTCTATTCCCAAGTCGCTGACCGTAGACATTGCCTCAATAATATAGATGGGCAGCGTAACGTTTTTTACGGTTTACGTTACGGTGTGCGTAACGTAAGCAGGTTACGGTCACGAAAAGGCCTTATGACTTCACGGTTGGTGCTGAACTGCTTTTTTGGAATTGTGGCAGGAACATTCGCTGTAATGCACTCCACGATTATCGTGGAGTGGAGCTATCTAGCCCATATAGTTGTTAAACTCATTTTTAGTGCCTCGGATCCAACTGAAGCGCTGACAGAGTAACATTTGATTTCGCATATATCACTCGTCTCCTTTGCAAATGCCGCCTGTCTTACTCCCAGGCTGTCTCGGAAATGTCAAGCTCATCCAGTTCGCCGCGGGAAAACCACAGGTCAGGTAGGGACTTTTTGGAGTAGGTAAGAAGAAACGGACAGCAGCCACACACAAGGAAGGCGAACTATTGAATATAGATGGGCGGAATTACGTTACGGATCATTACGGCGTCGACTCAAGCAACAGCGTATACGGGCGTATCGCATAACGCGGCGGTGCCAACGCCTCTCAGAAGCTCGGGATACCCTCAGTTACTGCGAAACATATTCCTCATAGTAACAGACCCACCAGGTCCTGCCTTTGTGGGGACGCATACCTCAGTGTGATACGTAGGTACACCTGTGAGGTACAGGCCCAATTAGGATACGCCAACAGGTTGGCGGTCTTCAAAAGCGGTTGGGCGTAATATCCCGAGCGTATTATTCTCATAGGAAACCCTTCAGGAAACCCCACTGCGAGGAGAAGTGCAAGGGAATCACAAGGGATAATATCGTCTCAAAGGATGCCTCTACAGCTTCCTCGCTCTAGGTCGAATCAGTGGATTGGGTTTCCTAGTCTATGATATGGTCGAAATTCAATCGTGGCTTCTTAATGGAAACCTACGGCTTAATTTTCTGATAGAAACTTTCTACTATTGGTAAAATAGTCCATATAACACTGGAGCGGCATGATCATTGTTGTGTGCTACGCTACCACAGAGGTAGCACCACCACAGGGTCAGAAGGGAGAGTTTTCGGATGCCATTCAAGTCATGAATTTGAAGAGGTGGTATGACTAGGACTCCGGGAACTCCGATTTCCGCAATCGTCTACGATGAGCTCTAAGTTACGCCTATGAGGGGGCCAATAATGGGCATAATAGCGATGGGTGCAGAATAGTCCTTTTAACTGCCGCCTCTCATATGGGGATCCGCATCAACTCTTCCGGTCCGCCACGTGACCTCCACGTCGTGAAGGCTGCGAGTGGGATGGGTGTAATTTGCCGAAGTCGAAAACCACACCGGTGAAAGAGGCTGGAGCCCATTTCATGGAGGTGAGATGTTGTGAAACTGAGAATGCGGAGGGTCCGCACGCTGTTGCGGATGCTAGGCGCTTATCATTGACGAGTCATCAATGAATTGAAATCGGGTTCAAGCTTCACATTAAGAAGCAGGCGCCATGACCACCCTACTCGACGGGATTGTGCACGCCCTTTAAAACGATTATATGTTCTGAAACTTGCACTTAACGTGCCCTAGAGCCAGATGACCATCTAGTAGAGCGCATGGAAGGGGTTGATAATATCACCCCTCCCAGAAGTTTTACTGGTATGTCATCATAGCACCACTTTGGTGGACCACTCTGCGGATGATGGCAGAGCTCTCGTAGCGAGTGAGAAGAATATCCCATCCCCCTTACCTTGCCATTGAATTGTTCCTTCAAGATGTTAGCGACTTTGATGAGGTTCCTGGTCTTGGTATTATGGAAACCAACCCCACGTATTTGAGCATCCAGATCCTTCTCGTCCATGCCGGCCAAATTAGCTCTTGTAAGACCACCGTTGCCTTTGAAGTGTGAGTGCAGGTTATGCATCGCTTTGGCATTCTCCTATGGAGGGAGACCATGACATTCATCCTGTCCTATGACCTTACCTGGTCCTTAGTCTGACTACTGAGCATGACCGCGATCAGTAGTTGGAAACATCTATCCTCCTCTGTCGCCTCAGGATCAGTGAGCATGTGGCAGCCCATAGTATCCACTGGCGCATCCCGAATGGCCCGCAACTCTGTTATCAAGGCCCATACCTGACGGCAACAAATCTCTATGGGCCTATACCACCAGACTTCTGTTTCATGCACCTGGCCATCTCATTCCCGCAGGGACAAATGAATTTGGTCGTGCGAATGTGCCACGAGCATGTGGTTGGTGGAAATGCAACTTCGTGCTTCGTCCATTGGTCCTTCCTTCAGCGGTATGATCCATGTGCGCATATATGTGCACATGCAATTGGAACGCCTGTGTAAACATGCCGAATTTCGGGATGTTCACGAGCGTGCTGAGGAAATTCCTTTTTTGGTCTCGACGTGGGGCTCACGATAGGCCGTCCGTATGCCACGTACATTGGAGTTTCATCGGCGTTGCAAAACGCATTCATGCGAAAACGCATGACGCAACGCGATGCTGTTCATCAACGCGACATGCATGTTGTTGAGCGGATGCAGACCTTCCGTTAAACAGGCTATGACGCTCTGTAATGTCAGGAATTTTTGTACTATTGCGTTTGGCACATGTGTTGTGACGCGAGTTGGCATTCTAACACAACATATCGCGTTTTCGAGGATAAACTATGTGAAAAACAGTTCAACCCGTTGAACAAGTGGAACCCCACTTATTTCGCAGGTGGTAGAATAATCCGAGTTCTCGCGTGTTGGAGCAAATTAACCGCAGGCTCCACTCCTGGTGGTGCGCTTACGTCAGTTCTTTCGAGATCCAGCCTTGCGTCCATACCCCCCCCCCCCCCCGCTCGGAACCCAAAGACTTTGATCTCTCACAGGGTGCTGAGGGGGTCTAGAAATTAATGACCCCATACAGTCTTCATTGGAAAGTACAGCCGTGACTTATGCCAATATGTATTTGCCGTACCGACTCGTAAGCGAAAGCGGGCGTCGCTTACTGGAGGACATTATAAACTCCGATTTGGCTGATGATGTACTCAGATTATGGAATTGCTGCTACGATGGACATGACGCCCGTTGGACATTCGTACGACCAACTCTATTGGGCCCTTCAAAACGAGCACATGTTGGCCATGCTCATGTGAAGTATATCTTCAATGGGTTCTCTTGGCCAACTCTTTCCCTTCCCTACCTCGTCGAAATCCCTAGGCTTCTCGGCCAAGTCCCTCCCTGCGGTACCAGCTGGAGCCTCCTACTGACATCCAACATCAACTCTAGCCATGACCCTGTCTAGACCTACCTTCGTCTGATCCGCCCCCTCCTTGGCCTCTTTGGTATTCCCCTTATCCTAAAGTATCATAATCCTCACCTATAAACCTCAGAGTTACACTATTACCGATGCTACAGTAGAAGGAGTAGAAGACAGTAGTCGTGGGGACCTACGCATAAGTACTGAAGTTCAAGTAACAATCACGTTAACCTGCACTATATCAACTTGAGCAAGAGCGCAAGATTTTCAAGTGCTCTCCTACGATGAAAGTAAATACTCATTTCTTGACTAGTGTATATCACTACTAGAAACGACGTAAGGTCTCAGAGTTACTCCACATGGCATCTTAGTTACGCATCCCTCCAAGTGGATTGCCATCCTCATATCAATTAGCTCATTTGAAATAAGTACCTTACAGTGCTAAGGCTAAGTACCCCTCCGACTGGTCTTGTTGGACCATGAGTGGTAGTAGGTACAACCAGCAGGTGATTGAATGCCGTATAGCGGCCTAGTTGGTCCATAAGGGTCTTGGTCTAAGCCAGGACTTATCAAGGACGCCTGTCACAAGCGGGCCTGTGCCTACAACTGTTTGGATATCTAATTACCAATAGTGGAGGCACCGACCAACCTCAAACGTAAGTAGTTGTGAACCACAGACGAGGGATCAAGTAGGCCCTCCCGGGTACTCTCCAAATCTTTCTGAGCTTGCATTCTGTCACATAGCAGCAGTAGTGCAACTGTCTGCTATAGATAGTTTTCTGGTGTGGAACTTCAACGACGACGATCTCCATCTTCCCGAATAGACCCGCCATGTGTACGGTGAGATCGTTAGGGTCCTCACATTCGCGGCCTGTGGGCACTATCTAGTTCAGCTCGGACAAATGCTAACAGCTATCCACGAGTCATGTTCGGCTGGTTGTGATTGTTCCTGCCCTAAACTGGACGGCCTAGATGCGGGTCCCGGCTCACTGGTGCCGGTTAGGGGGTGTGTGGTGGCCACGGCGGCAGTGTGGTAATCTTACTATCATAATAGGGGCCTTGTTGGGGACGAATATGCAATGTTTGCTTTCCAGGTGCCAGGGTTTTTAGTCCGCTTCAAGCTTGGCTCTCAGTGATGTACAGGTTTATGTGGATGTTCGAATTGCTTTCTATTCGACTTGTTACTTGCGTTCTGCGGTCGTGTAAGAGTTGGACTCAGTAGAACGCTCTTACAGCATGGCAGAGGTGGAAGGCGACACTACAGACATCGTTGCGGGTGAGGACTACGAGGACCTAGCCCACATGAAGGGCCCCGAGCCTGAAGTAGCTCGGGTTATGGATACTGATGAGGTCAAGGCGAGGAGGAGGAAGTGGAAGGCCAGGGAATTCAGGTAGGGCTGGTCGTCATCGACAGGCGTCAAGGACGGGCTCAGGCAATATCTGGTGGACGCTGGTTTGGTGGACGCAATTGTGAAGATGTTCGTGGGTCTATTAGAAGCTGACCAACTACCTCATCTGGATGGCAGCCGTCCAGAGACCCACCACGACATGGGGAATAGGATACTCACAGTTAGCCAGTGTTATCAGCTGCGTCACGCGCCACGAAATTAGCTGGGACTGATCGATTACAGTAAGTATCTTTAGGATTTCTTTGGTGAATATCGCGATGCTGCTTGGGATGAGGTGAATGCTCTGGAGGCGGAGAATAGGACCCTCAAGCAATCTAATGAGGAGCTGGAGGGCAGGATACCTCAGCTGAATGAGAGTATCATCAAGGCACGCATTGACAAGACCGCAGGGGAGTGGTGGTCTGTTGTAGCCAATAAGGCAGGGAACCCTACGGTATGGTGATCGTTCATCAGAGGCCCAATATGAACATGTTTAGGCGGATACGCTGTCACCTAAAGAGCTGATAGCAGCACTGAAACCCACTGGAGACGTTTTGGATAGTGTTAAGAAGTGTGGTGCGTTGACCAGTGCTGATGTAATGTTGACAGGTGGGTCGGTCTAGTTTGAACGGCTCAGGTACTCGGCTTCCTGCACGCATGTGGTGAAGAAAGCACGATTGGTCTCACGCAGATCTGGACTGACTCTATGAAAGAGGGCCAGCAGCCAGTCAGAGACGAAGAAGATGTTAAGCTTGGTGGAATGCATTGTTCCA